TATGCTTTACTCATACTATGGAAGTTTCTATCGAGTGCATCATAATGAATGAGCCTCTCAGTATTTTCTATTTTTCTCGTGTACCTTCGGTTAGTGTTTTTTTAAAAAGATGTGCCACGAAATATTCTACAAAACCGTATCTAAACTTCAATTTTAGAACTTTAATCAAGGAAACTACGTAAATTATGCGAAAGACGAAAAAAATAAAAACTGTGTATATTTGGTATTTTTTCGACTTGACTTTTTTCTTCTGCAATTATTCACGTAAAAAAAGTGTAGCGCGTTTGTTTTGTTGAAGTTACGGGACTTTTACTGAAAGCACCGCTATACCCAGAATTTAATTATTATGACGTACTCGATAGAAACTCCCATAGTTCTACAGCCAATAATCATCATACGGAATATCAGTCATACACATCAATCCCACTTTAGATGAGCATTAATTTGGTATAGAAGGTCTACCCAGCTGGAAAAATATTATTTCCAACCCTGTCTGTATGTGAGAAAATGGTCAGAACCAACGAACAAGTTTTCAACGAGATAGAAAAATCTTAGCGTTCAAAAACCTGAAATATTTTGGTTTTCTACTGGATCGGAGAGTAAAATATTTGTATCTCTGCGAAAGCTTGTTCGTTGGTTCTGAACGTTTTCTCATATAGGTAGTTCAACATGCTCTACAATCCGGCAGTGCCAAAATATATTCAGCTGGAAGTGCATAGTGGGTCTTCGGACATCCGGATTTCAGAGATCCACCCTAGAAAAGCCTAACGGCAGAAACGGATATCAGATTCGTGATCAGCATCAAAGATTACCCACAACCGTGTGTGTTTTAAGAAAAAGTGATTGGACACTTGAGAAGGTTCGCTCGTCCGTGATGATGAAATAGAGACAAGTTGAGAATTTATTCACTTGGCTCGTTTTCTAACGTTCCGATATGTTGTGATGGGAAAAGAGAAAAATTGGATTTAGCACAGAAATAAAAAGCAGCAGTTGGTGTTGAAAAAGAGTGTCGACCGTTTTTTTTTTCCTTGATTCATCAGCTTCTATTTTTTAGTGGATACTATTTTACGCTATTTTATCGATTGGATTCACAATCTCCATCACAGGATTAATGACCCAACTTTAAAACTGATCCATCTTTCAAAATCTTTTTTTTGAATAATTTTCTTTCTTTACAAAAGTTTCTCTGCGCGCAAACAAATGCTCAAAAAATTGTTAATGTGTTGTGATATTCATTTAACCTAATTGTACTTTGTGTCCGTTTACGACGCATTCTTCATATAATAGTTGCTGAAGTAACGGGATTTTTATGAATGACCTGGGAACAAGAATAGACAACAACAACAGAAGTTATATAACATTTAAAATTAGACATTAGACATAGAAAGGAGAGAGACGATATTTTTTTCATGAAAAAAAGTAGATACAATAGTTCTCTTTCTGTGATAAATTTTTTTCTCTTACATAATTTTATTTTATTTTCTCTCTTCATATATGTCACTAGTTGACTGTCTTACAGAGCTTCTTGTAAGATTCATATTTCTTGTGATTCCAGGCAAGAATCTTGTACAATATTTTACATATGTTTTTATATCAAAATTCTTGAAGGAGATTAGTGTAGCAGCAGTAAAGAGTGAGAAGTCTGCTTCCTGATTCAAATCACATGATACAGTTCAACAAAGGAGTATTGTCTTATATTTCTTGTAAGCAATTTTTAATTGTAAAAATATATCTGTTTTAATTGCGTTGTCTTTCGTAAATATAGAAAGGGTTTGAAATATGCCAATAAAAGTTTATGTAGTGACTCAATTATCTCATGATAAGAATATTGTTAAAAATAAAAATAATGTTTTTAATCTTATAATTCATAGTACCTCTCATATGTAATGTGGAACCTTACAAAAGAAATAGGTGGTAATATTGTTGACCAACTCTGCTCATCAGTGAAGACAATCTTGTGTGTGCAATAAAAGATGCAGAATAACAAAAATTTTAAGTAACAATGTTTATTAAATTCAGTAAAAAAAACAAGTTTTAAGAATCTCATCTGAAATGACATAAAGCAAGAATCTTGCAAGAAGGGCAATAAGAAAGTTGAGTAGTGATGATGTCGTAATAATCGAGCACAAGGACAGAGATGAAAGAACGAACCAAAAAGAATCGATCACGTAATATATCGTTCTGTTAAAATATGAGTTTTTATATCCCGTTAAATGAGTTCACCAACTTCAACGATTAAAGACAGAGAGTATGTACAAAATGAAAAAGGTATCACACAATCAAAGGAGGATCCCAATTATTAGTGGAAAAGCTAGTTAGAGAAACTGTTGTTTTATAGTAATTGAATAATTTTTATTAATTATTTTCTTTTCAGAATGCTTGTTCGTCCATTATCCGGAACTATACGTAAAGTCTCTCATTCTCGTACAAATCGACGTCTGTCTAAACGAAAGACTTTACGATCCGTCAAGTATCAACAACCACCAACAACAAGAACGTCAGAAAGTAACCTAATTAAAAATTTTTTACAAATAATCAGATGTATAAAACAACCGATAACATTAGCGTACAATGAGAAGCAGCTAGAAGATATTTGTCAACAGATGACCTTACAGATGCAGCCATTAATTAATCAACACCAAACACCATCAACATCCGATAAAGAATTATGTGTATTTTTATGTGGTATTTGTCAACATTTACTTTATGAACCATTAACATTATATTGTGGACATACGTATTGTGAAAAATGTATTAAAAATGAACCAGACAATACCGATCGTGTATGTCAACGTTGTCCACGTGATATTATTGGTCAAATTCAATCATCCATTCAATTGGGAAGAAAAGCACTATACTTAAAAAATATATTTCTTAATGAGCTATTTGAAAAATCCATGAGTTTTCAAACACATCGATCTTGTATGGTGCTCTATTATCGTGGTCAACAAGAATACAACGCAAAAAATTATGATTTAGCCGTTCAATACTATAATAATGCATTAGATATATGTAAGCCAACTTGTTTTACTACGCACATTTGACTCAGTAACAGAATGTCCAGGTCTGTAACAGTAAATGGCCAGTTAACTAATATTTAAAGAAAGCTCTTAAAATAAGCATTGAAATGGCCAAATAACAGTGTCATTTCCTGCTTGTTTTTAGATATTTAATTTAACGGTCTGAAAATGGACAGTCTATGGTCAAGCTCAGAAAATGAGCATTTAACAGTGTCATTAAGTGTCTGTTTTTAGTTTGCCCGTACACCACTAGTTCACGCTCTGAAGCGGACGTATTTTGACGGCTCGTTAATGTTATTGCTTCTTTATCACTGCTATATTTTGTCTTAGATCGACAAGAACAGCGAAAATGTTAACATAAAGAAAAAAAATTTCTTCCGTTTTCAGGAAGACTCGGGCCTTATCAGACTCATTGCCGGCCTGTAACTCCAGCTGTTAAGACATTTCTGTAGTAATAGATGAAGTCAAATTAAAACTTAAAAAATAGGAAAATGATCTTAGAATGGGCAAAAAATGATTTAAATACGATCTTGAAACGATTAACATTAACTAGCCGTTTTTACATTGTGAAAAAAATGATCACGTCTAGACCTTTCAGGATCACCAAATGACTAAAAAGTGACCTCAATGGTAAAAAAAATAGTCATTTAACGGCCATTTAACTCGCTTTCAAAAAGTCATTAATGAGCCATTAATTTCACCGTTTCCTTCGTTCTGGGTGACTTGCTATCAGCTTATAAATTACAAAAAAAGACCTACAATTTGGACAGTTAATGAATTCTTGTTTTATTCATATATATATTAGGTGAAGATGATCATTTAGTATTAAATGGTCGATCTCAAGCGTATTTAGCGCTCAATAGGTTCGATGAGAGCCTCTCGGATGCTGAACATATAATTAAACTGAAACCAGATTGGTCAAAAGTAAGAGAAAAGTTTTGTTATCAGGATCTTACTAATGAGTTTCTTCTTTGTAGGGTTATTTGAGGAAAAGTGAGGCTCTATTTGAAATGAAGCGCTATACAACAGCTTTGTTATCATCATTAATGGCACTGACATTTGATCCAGAAGACCCTGTCGGAAAAACAATAATGGCCAAAGTGAATATTTTAGTTTTACTTCATTTACAAGCCAGAGGTATCGTTAGAATAACAAAAGTAAAATTGAGATACAATTCGATGTTTTTTGTAATATGGAAGCTTGTCTTAGAAAGTATCGATTTCCAAAAAAGCATATGTTAATGTTTTATAATTAAGTGAGGTAGGAACTATTCTTCGTGAAGCTTAGCGTGTAACTAACTCCATGGCGTATTTTGAAACGACTTAGAAGATTATTTATTTTGTAAAACTAGCCATCGTTACTCTGAATCTTCGATTTTTGGTCTTAAATCTAAACTTTATTAGAATGAATTTTTCTACTATATTCTAATAAGATTATACATGAAAGAATAAGGAAGTCCAATTATTGACGAATATTAATGGTCACATATATAAACTTGTCAGACAACGTCTCTTCTCTTACGTTTGTTATAATTCATTAGGAACATGTAAAAATACATCGCATATCTTTGGTAAAAACTAAAGTTATACTGGATTTTTCTGTTCTTTCAATGCTTACGTAACTGTTGACTCTGTTATATAATAATTCGAATTTTCTTCTCGTTTCTTTTCTCTCTGTTCTCAATTGATGTGACATGACATTTTAATATTATAAAGGCGTATAGAGAGAGACTGTAACCTACTTATTGTTACATTTCAAACAAATTGTTTTCTCTTTGTATAAAGAAATAGAAAAACCAATGAAAAGATAATAGTGCGTGTTTTGACAGCAATTGTATTCATTTTCTCCACTGAAAGTCACGTATTATTGATATATTTGTATTACAGTTATGACCGCAGACACTATACAATCAGTATTATCGAAGAAAAATATATTTTTATCATTCTATATCTCATAGTATAAATTGCAATAGAAAAAAATAATCATGTCAAATATTTATAAAAGATTTAAAAAATGTAATCATTCTTTACAGAATATCATAGTGCTTTTCATATATTGGAAAATATTTTTTTAGAATTGATTATAGTTGATTAAATACAAGGATAGTAAAGAATTTTTTCAATACTTTTGAGCTTCTAATTGACATGTCATTTAAGTATAATCAAGTGGTTTTTTTTTTCAGTCTCTACTTGAGATCGATTTAATAACATTTGATTTAGGACGATATATTTGATACACAGACTCTGCGGGGAGGGATATATTGCACTGTTGCAACGTTACCTGTTTTTACCTTACAAAAAGTTTTAGTTTATATCATCATATAATTTTCATTGATTTTTGATTTATTATAGCATCTACATGCTGTTTTACATGAATCTCCATCTGAAGATATTGATGAGTCATTACTAACCAGTGAACTTCGATCGAGTGTACGTGATTCTATTATATTTCTATTTAATCGAAACTTTTATTTCTTTTCTTTTCTTTTAGAATACTACTGATCCAGATATTATCCATCAGGCTAGTAATCTCTTGGACTATCTAATAAACGATAAAAATAACTCTTTGTTTTTCTTCTTATTATTAGGAAGAACATACAGAAGCAAGCAATCAAATTCAAAATGATGCTGATGAACCAGGTTGGTTTTGATAATTGCCTACTATGAACTAATCGTTTATAAATTAATCAATATATTTAGGGGAGACAATTTGTATGTCAACAACATCGGAGTTATCTACAACTAAAAAATTGGCACTTTGTAGAAGTAAGAGACTCTTCCCTTTTTTAAAATCTAAAATTTTATACCATTTTCTGTTTACGTAGATTCTTATGAACGATTATGTTTATGCAATACATTCAACTATAAACAGCTAGATATCAGAGATTTTGAATGCTCAATATGTGTAAAGTAAGTGATAACTATAGACTGTCAGATAATCATCATTAATGCCAATTTATTTATTTTAGTACACTTTGGTTTCCTGTTACAACTCCGTGTGGTCATGTGTTTTGTCGCGAATGTTTAATTCGTTCCATCGATAATACATTGGCACAATGTCCCATGTGTAAAAAATCATTGACTGAAGTAAAATATTAGATAAATACACAAATTATTTTCTATAAACATATTTTTCTTCATTTTATTAGTTTTTTTCTATGCTTATACAATCACATGTAAATCAAACTGAAATAATTCATCGAATGATTGAAATATATTTTCCAGATGATTTTATTGAGAGACGTGAACAATATCACAGAGATGGTTGGTATGTTAGATAATAGTCTACGTATATAGACCCCTTCTTTCAGGTTTATCAAATTCAATTTTTAGTGTATCAGTTAAGATCAATGATAATAATTTGAACATAATCGCTAATATGCCGATATTTGTTTGCGTATTAGCACTACCTAATTGTGTCTGTCCATTACATGTATTTGAGCCAAGATATCGTTTAATGATGAGAAGAAGTTTTGAAACAGAATCAAGATCATTTGGAATGTGTAAATATGATGAAACAACAGGGTATGTTTTACATCCTTTATTATTAATTGACAAAAAAGAAACAATTATGTCTTTTCTTGTATTGATATTAGAACATTTGCCGATTGTGGAACATTATTATATATTCGTGGTATTATGTACACTGAAGATGGACGATCAGTTGTTGATACAATAGGACAACGACGTTTTCGTGTACTTAGCAGAGGAATGAAGGACGGTTATAATACGGCTAATATTCAATTAATCAAAGATAATTTAGTTGAACAGGATGAATATAATAGTATGTACTATGAATTTATAATTTAACATTTTTATTTTTCTATTTAATCATATTAAATAATTTAACATTTTTATTTTTCTATTTAATCATATTAAATAATTTTAGATTTAGTTCAACTCAATATTGATACGTATAATAAAGTACGTCACTGGTTCGATAATTTAGATCTACATCGTAAATCATTAGTATCCTATCAATTACAAGAATATCCAATTTGTGATGAGTTCACTATTACATCAGGTAGAATGTCTTATTTTAATCAAAAAATATTTATTATAGTTAAATTTATTTTAGTTGATGGACCACAGTGGCACTGGATTATGCTTAATATAGTACCAATCGAGCCATTATTACAATATGCCGCATTGGGATCTGAATCATTAAGAATAAGACTGCAAATGTTAAATGATGCTGTCACATTTTTACAACAACAACAACAACAACAACAGCAACAGTAAAGTCAAATTGATAAATATCATTAATCCACTTTCATTCATATGCTAGTGTTATCTGTCACATCAGACAGTCATTACCAGAGCAAATTTAATCCCGGTGATAAGCATTCAATTGATTTCTTTTATCACTTCATTCTTTTCTGTTTTTTTTCTTCTCTAGACGCAATCGTTTGAGTTTTTTTTCTTGTGTATTTATTGTTAAAGAAACGATAACAGATTGATTTATTTTGCGCAAAAAACGCGTTTCTTGCGTTTTTTTAATGAGCGTTACTGACTCACAATCGCGGTTCCCTTTTGAGCGTTTAAACGCATTTTTCCAAATGTTTGTCTGCTTGGGTATATAACGATAACTTAATGATCGTGATGTTGCTCGATAAGCTTCTAAATTCAAGCTTCCTTTGAAATAATTCGACTTTGCTTCAGTTAATCGGAGCTCATTACTCTTTGTTGAACGTGTGTTACGTTGTTGTTCTTGTTCGTATCGTGACATTGTCGACTTTTCACTTCCCTGTATGTGACGGAACTACGCCCAAAGATGCGGATGTGTTTCACAATTCCTGAATGATAAAAAATCTTTTTGTATCAAAGGTCTTCATTGCGGGTACAGGTAGGATACTTACCAATTCAATTTCGCATCATAACCTTCTGCATAATTTTTGGTACACGGTCTTATTTTAGTCAGATCGAAATGATTCCAGAAATCTATTGGATATTTTGGTTCTTCAATATACGTTCTCAATACATAACCGGTCAGTTTGATGCATTTTTCACCAAATTAATTCTATTATATTCGCAAATGCTTCATTTATTTCATTGGGAGATAATAAAGGCAATGCCACCATATTAGCCACCTGTCGACGCAGCGTGTATCATCATTATTTCTGATTAATTATGTTAAACCGTACTTCTCATCTTTTTCCATATATTTTGTACAAAGTGGAAATGACAATCTATCAGCTGTTGGAAACTTACACTAGAAAGCATTCCATGCGGCAACTTCAAAACCTAATACTGCATCTGGATATAGATTATTACAAAATAAGAACTGCTCATGTAATGAAGTACAAGTCATTTGCTGGGGTATAACGAGTGATTATAATGTTTTAATATGTTTTTTGACCGCACTGGTACAATTTAAAACATTCACCGATAATTTTGGATCGTGCATTGGATAAGGAGTAACATTATCATCAATACCACTACTACCGATTATGACATCATCTTTTATTGTTATTAAACATGAACACGAATTACGAGCACAGATCCATTTTTTGGGTTTCGTTTTTATTTGAGCGTTTCAAACGATATAAGTAACTTTTATATAATATACTATCCTGGTTTTTTTCACTCCCACTCAGTCCAGCAATGTCGTTCTCAGCTCAATTTAGTTTTAAGCATCAGTTTAGAAAAATACGTCAATCAGTTTCTGTGTCTACAGTAGCCAATCATTTCTAATTAAAGAGCGATTCAGAATTATAAACAGTGTACAAAGTATATGAAAAGACCAAACTCTCTATTCCAAATTAAGACCACATTTTATTTCTATAAGAAATCAGAGAATTGAAGATCTTTTATTTAGAAAAATTTTAAATACTGGTTTTTCAAAAATGAGTGAAAGTGACTTAAATTTTCAATAAAACTCAAAATTCGACCTTTTTTTTTATTTTAAAATTCCCGAAACTATTTTTCTCTTATTCTACAGCCAAATCCGACACTAGAAAACTGCCTTTTGAAATTTTAGAATTTGAAATGGGCTTAATATCCACAGGACACGAAGAGGATGGTAAAAGTTCTCACCCACCACTCTTCCAAACCTATCTAGTCCCAGGATTATAGAGATAAAAATATTTAGTTTACGCCATTTTTCTCTTGAACAATCTCTTTTCTCCCAAAAATTCCATCGGAGCTCTTGCCCAGATTTGGTAACCAAACTAATTAAAATTTAACAAAAACATGCTTTCTTCCACTTTGTCTTCTAAAATAGTTGAGAGCAAAATTTTTCTCCCACTTTTCCTTAATGGGAAAAAAAGTTCAAATTGATATCGACAATATCCTTATCAATTTAGTTATTGTGTTGAAATTATGATGATAGATGATGTTGTATTCTATGGTTTTCTCTCAAATAAATGTACGCCCCTCTTGGTTTTTTCTCTAGCCACGTCACTGGTGTTATCGATATCACGATGGCAGGATATAAATTTTTGGTAGGTAACATTTCTCAAAAATATCAAGAGACATTCATCTTGCTTTCTCGATAAGAATTATTAAGTCTCTTTTGTACGAAATATTACATACAATACAAATTTGGCAATTACAGTTACTGATAAATTGATTTTGAAAAGTGAGTATCTTTATTATTTGATATCGTATTCTTATCTGACTATTGGATCGAGTTCTAATTAAAACTCTCGTTAATAATCTAAAAATTAAATTTATTCTTTTCTAATTTCTTTTTATTGAACTATTAAAAAAATATAATAATATGAACCGTATGATAGTTTGTAAAAAAATATACCGGTCAGCTCTTTTTTTTTACAAAAATTTCTGACATTATGATTCATTGACACGGCACGCATACCGTCTCTTATTGTTGTAAAGAAAAATAATCTGATGGAAAACAAAGTCTACTCAAGTTCTTTCGATAGCGTCATCACTAATGTCCTTGTGGCTATGATGACATTACGAGTGTGTCTGTCTACCGACTTTGTATTTGTCTACCTGAGTGAAGTCAAAGAGTACTTTAAATCAAACAGCCTCAGTTCATTCAGGAGGTAACAGAACTTCATCTGAGACAGTTAAAATGAGTATGTCGAGACTAATCAATACTTAAGTCTGACTAATACAATAGCTGCACTTTCTAGATATTAATATTATCAATTTAAAATATAATGATTGATGCTTTCTTCTACAGATATATTCTAACGCCATGATAAGTTGTGTTTTGCTTTAGAGACAAAACTTTTGAAGAAATTTAAGAGAAAGTCGTCAATAGCCTTTCATCCTTCAACTGAGATGTTCATCTCCATCTGTTGGTACCTCATGTAGACAGTGTATATCATCTCTTTGTTCTTCGAAACAAATACTAAACAAGGTTATTTTTAATAGATGCGTCCATTCAAATAAAGCACAATACACATCACAGCTGAGTACAAAAATTTGTTTCTTTCGAATACACAAGGTCATAAAATCAGATGAAAAAATGTTATGCCATTCCTCTACCTACTCAGTTTGAAATAATTGTTATAACTTAGTCAATTTAATAACTATGTTATTAAATTGACTGCTATTGCTATCATTAACGTGACATTTTTGAATAGTTTGAATTTTCAGGCAAGCAACTGAAAATAACATTCTTCCTTTATTGAACACTCTTTATGCATACTTGTTGAATTATCACTGTCTGCAATAGTTGTGAAATTTAATTTATATTTTAAATTTAATATAAAACTCATATTTTTTTAAAAGAATGGTTTCATGGTAACGTGACTTTAAATAATTAATTATATCAATACTTACATATTCAACAATAAGTTTACAATTATTATGTCAACAGATATTATAAGTTATTACAATGAATTTTGTTTTTTATTAACAGTTTTTTTTGTGCGAAAATTTGAGCTGCCCGCTCTAGAGAACTACGCAACGTAGAAAACTTCTAGAAACGGTAGCCTATCTCGTTACAGTGCAGACTGATAGTTGGACGTTCTTTTTTGTTTTCAAATAAAAGTTCAGATTAGGCACCATAAGCTTCATAAGTGAAAGTAAAATGTGTTTTGAACTTAGAAACTTTTCGTATATTTATAAGAGTTGAACGGAACGAGTTATGGAGTAATAACTAGAATGCGGTGTCTGTCGACATTGCAACTTGTGTGTAGTGCAATTGCAATCTAGTTTTAATTTATTATATTCGGAACTGATATAATTCGATGCGCTCAATCCAACTATGATGAAAAAAACGAAAAATAAAATGCTGCTCGATTTCTGAATTATCGGCACCTTATATAGTCTTCTGTTTTATTCTTTGTATCTGAACAATCAATGTATTATTTTGTTAACCTTCTACGGAACAGTAAATTTTTTTGTATGTTAGAATTTGGCAATCCTATTAATTTTGATGAAATTGACAGATGAACTTTCGATTAAGTTTATGGTCACCTTTCATGTTTAAAATGCAAAAATTGTGCTGAAACTATACTCAACATTCAGTACGTACAGATAAATAGATTCACCATTTTCTCTTTCACCTAACCAGTGACATTATCTTTATTACAAATAACAATTAGTAACCTTGTAATACGATTGAGAACAATAAAGAGATGTTTTTGAATATAGGTATAGGCTATTGAAGACTCAGTATTATAACAAGTAAAATGATTATGACCTAACCAATTTTAGAAAGAATGAAAAAGGTTATTTTGAATAAAACCATGTATTGAATCATTTCTATTATTCATCAAAGATTGTATTATTCAACGCTCGCTATGGTTAGGAAAGTTTTTCCGTTTCATTCACTGCTGGTTCAACGTTATGGTACATTACATCTGTATAATAAAAAAGAAAGATAAAACAAGAATAAAAGCTAGGTTCCTTCTCTCCTTGCTAGAGGTGAAACACATGGTAAGATCAAGTTTCTGAATATGGTTTATTTATTTATTTAACGTGAAACCCCTTACGCTCATAGCGTCTGGGTACTATTGAATATAGTTATTTTACATTAATTAAATACTATATCAAGAAAAACAAAAATTATTATTATAACGAATTATTTTCTTTTATTAAATCTAAACTGATAGATTATATCAGTCAACATTTAAAATTATATTTTCAAATAAAGGTATATTATTCTTCAAGCAATTAGTTATATTGGATACACTTTTTTTTAAATAGATACCATCTATTCAAATAAAAGAGATATTTCATTAATTGTAATAATATTCGTAACAACTTTGATTACTCAAATGAAAGAATTCTTCCCAGCTTTGTTTTATGACTTTTCATCCCTTTGCACTCATTAAAGTACGTTAGATAACGTGCAATAACGTAAGAAATAAGGTATCCTGTTAAAGCGCGCTATTTAAACCATTTAATGCCGTACAACGGAGCACAGAAATATCGGAGTTTCATTAAAAAAGTTTTTATTAAAAGGAAGTTCGTTAAAATTTTTAATGAATTCTTATGTCATGAAAAACTCCAGGTCACAGTTACTTTGCAGGAGACATTTTAATGAAGGTACTGGTACTTCTTTCAGTCACCCAATGTGGAACAGAATCTGTTAACGCGTGACAACGGTATAAAATCTATAGGCCGTCACAACGCATGATACTTTAATGATAAATTGCAGTCCTTCAACGCTGAAAAACGCGCTTTTCAGCATTTTTTGGTATCAGAAAAACCGCATGGGAATAAGACATTTAAATATTTCTATATTCAGTTAAAAAAGCGTACACATTTTCCAGCTGTTTTCAACCGTTAGACAAATTCTGTGAGCTGTATACAAATATAGGTGTTTTATTCACGTGGGCATATAATTTATGTATGTAAGTTAATGAATTTTTCATGATTACACGATAAATTAAATTTTATTGCGTTAATCTTGTTACAATTCGATAATTTTAATGAAACAAGTTGCTCAAAGGGCAACGATAGAATATGTTTATAATAATGGAAAAATGTTCTTTCAGTCACTGAAGACGGCTCAGTTTTATTGATTGGTAAATTCAAACATGTGATTGAGATCGTAAAATAACTGCACAATTTCCATTGAAAAAGATATCAAAACATTTCATATTTAATAATTCATTGAAGAACATTTCAAATAAAGCAGCAGATAACGTGTCGACAATTTACAGGCAGACGCAGGTTTTTAGATATCTAAGAAGTTTTGCACGGATAAAATAAATATAGTGAAATCCCATGCAGACAAAATCAATTCGAAATTTTTGATTAATAGTAATTTCTGAAAAAATCGTTGATTTAGTGCTGAACAAGACAAGAGAACTACAACTTTTGCTACACTGTCCTGGAAAAACACGGTAAAACTATGCAAATAGCACAGAAAAAGCGTGCCATTGAAAGTCCAAACTTCAATGTCCAATATGGACAAATAGCACACTTTTTCCGTGCTTTCAGAACATTCGGGTAACAAAAACGTCAGCGTCTTCCCATGTCAAACAAATCGCATACGATCGTATCTGAATCAGACAAAATCGTATCAAATTGTATGAAAATCATATATGAATCGTGGTATCTGATTCGTCCTCTGGATCGTACAAGATCATATAACTTCGTATGAAATTGTATAGTACGAATCAAATACCACGATTCGTATGTAAATCGTACATAATCCTATATGATTTCGTACGATTCGTATACGATCTTGTACGATCGGATCGTACGACTCAATCACCTGGGTTTTTGTGTGCTTCTTTTTCTCCGTTTGACTTTCACGTTTTTACCAAAAAGTGTTTTACTGCCACGCTTTTTAGGACTACTATTATACTAAAGACGTATCACAAACACACTAAAAATATGATACTGATCTGTAATATATTAATCTCCACAAAGTATCTACCGATCCAAAATTCGGCGAATCCATCATGTTTTATCTGGATTACTGAAGAAAAAAGTGAATCTCAGAGAACTATTGGAAAAAACTATTGATTGTGTATTGATTTTCACATTTTAAACGCGCTTTTAGCACGCTTTAAAAATTGTGAGAGTAAATAGTGCTTCTTATTAACAGACAAAGCATGCCACTAAACGGCACGGTAAAAAGCGTTCCAACAGTACATTTCTCGCGACCGCATGGAGCAAATGTACTGACGGCACGATCAAAATCCATGGCATGAGTGAAGCATCCGGATTAACTTTTTACCGTCTCAACGGCACATTTGTTCCATGCCATCAGCATACTTTTAACATGCTGTTTCGGGAAAGTGGAAGAATCAATGTTTTCAATGAGAATTTAGAGCAGTGTCACAGTGACGGATTGACGACGAGTAATTTTGATTTCATAGCTCTTTTTCTGGTTTAAAAATGAATTATCTAGTTTTTCTAACAATTCTCGTAAAAATTCTACATACTAACTAATTTTCTAAAATCCTACATACACCGGAAAAATTTTCTGGATCACATTTTCTTCTCCATTCTAGAGATATGATAATCGAAAACCAGTTTTGATTGTAGCTTCTTCTTCGGAGCGCATTATTTTATTCATATTATATGTGAATACATACATACATGACGTTCTCTTTTAATGTAAACATTCTGACTGGTTGAAAGAATTCATAGCCAAATACCATCGACCTTCTCAAAGTAATTCAATTAATCTAATTTTTCGTACTATTCAACCATCTGATGTTGCGCTAAACTGCTCTGTTCAACTTGGTAGTATACTACCATATTCGTCTTATAGTAATCCGTGGTACTATCCTCCATCCATTTGTTGAGTCTCTCCCTCCCTCGCTTCTTTTCTATCTCCTTCTTTCTCTTTGTCTCTCTCCCTCTCTCTCTTGCTTTTACTGTTTCTTCGGTTCTTTCTCATATTTAGTCTTTGTTCTAGTGTACGGAAATGCACACAGCTGCCGTTTAGTACTATTTCACATCGATCGATTGATTTCAGATAGACTGCTCGTAACATTCATCTGTTCATTATCGTGAGAAAATGGATTTAACCAGTATTTTCATTTTTGTGGTTATCTTTTTGGTTATTTTGTTTATTCTTGGTGGAATGGGTTATCAAATTTGGAAATCATCTTCAACAATGAACGATAATTACACGAAACAAGAAAATCTATATGACTCAAAATCATCCACCAAGAAAAATGATACCGGAAAGAAAGGTCGAGCCGAGGAAGATGGATCAAAAAAGAAAAAAGAGAAAAAAAAGTCTAAACAACAAAAACAACCGTTAGTCAAGGCAACACCGATAAACGATGAACAAAATGACGATGAAGAGAATGATGAACAAGAAGATACTGAGCATGATCAAGTAATAATTTTATGCTATCCTATGTTTTCTTTAATCTTGCGAAGTTTGTTGTTTAGGAGGTTAGCACACCTGAACCGGAGTCATCCAGAACGCCATCAACATCAGTTAGAAAGCGTCACAAAAAGAAATCTAGTGGTGGTGATGGGATCTTAGCAAATAAAAATGAAACACGTCTAATAAATTCAAAAGGCGTACAACAGCAAGGAGTGAAAACAAATTCACCAACAAAAGATGGTGTCGAATTGGCACATGAGGATCAATCACTTATCGCTGTGAAAACTAAAACAAAACCACAAGCCACTGTTAATCCAACAACGATAACAAAACAAGCACTGCCACTGCAAACATCTGTAGTTGAAAATAAACAACAGCAACCTGCACCAGTGCAAGACATTAAGCAAGTTGGAGGAAAGAAAAGTCAAAAAAATCAACCTCCAAAACAACAGTTACCACTATCACCATCAAATCAAAGTCAAGGACAAGGCAATCAACAACACGCTGAATCGAATCGAAATAAATTAGCTACACCATCCGCACAAGGTTTAAAAAATGTATGCTATGGCGTTCATAATATTTTTATTTCATAGCTCATGAAGAGCAAAATTGACAAAGAATATTTATGCTGATAATGATTGATTTTTAGCAAGTCAGTTTTTCTAATATGATACTAGCCAACTATGTCATACGTATAGCTAGTGACACTTGTTATAGTTTGCTGTGATATATCGACCTATAAGAGTCTAAGATACAACACCTAAGAAGATAGTGCATGTGAATGTCGTTTGTTCGATGTTTTATTATATGTGGTAAATGCCATTCATCATTTGACTGAGTTAAATCCGGTTTGTTCTGTTTAAATCAGATGTGGGCATCGTCCGGACCAGGTATAGTCTTGCGCAAAAAGGGATATCTCCTTATTACAAAAGAGAGATCAAAACGATCTTTATCACTATGGTATAAAGAATCTTTTGTATTTCAGGCTTCAATTTTACCATCTTCTCCTCAACAACAGCGTTCTAAAGAATATGCTCAGATTAGTGAACAAACAGAAACACGTTTGCCTCCTCGTTCACAACCGCTACAAAAATCTCCGGTTGATGAACGACAAGTACCAAATCCATCGGTGCAAACAAACGGTTTTAGTCAACAGTCTTTATCGCCCATTAATCCACCTCAGATTAGTTCAAATAAAGTAACACCACCGAATCATCCAATAAAAATGGTTGATTTACTTAGAGGTACTTGTCTCGAACTGGTAAATTCCTGATCCTGTTTTGTATATTCATTTTATATCTTTAGCCCTACCTACATCTCAATCAGTCGTTACAGAATTGATGTTGGCTTTAGATACAATACCATTATCGGATAAAGAATTAGACGTTATTATGTATAAAATAGCAAACAAACAAGTTGTTCTCAAATCAGATTGTAATAATGTAAAACATTCGAACTTCTCTCTATCAAAGATTATTAATAGCTGTGTGAACTTTGCTCTAGCTTCAACGTGGACAAAAGCTCGTCGATCCACAGGTTCACATTGGACAGATTATGGATGACGTAACAAAATCATATCACGAAGGTAAATTGAATAAATTCTATCCAGTTTTCGTTCAATAGTCTCGACACTCACAAATGCAAAGATTTATAATAGTGATATTAAAAAAAGCAACTATTAATACCCCATGTCAACTATCCGAATTCTTGAGTACCAGCACTGCTTTCAAAGGCAAAAGGGCCACTGAGGAATAAAGAAAGAACATCATTCTTTGTCGCTATTATCGTTGATGTAAGACACTGACATGTCACAATTGTCAATTTTATGTAGCCCGATACCTTCCGCGCAGCCACTAACCTTCGACGATGGTCACATTAGTCACCCATATTTTCAGTATAAATCAAACTATGTCTCCGTTTAGAACGCTACCCGAACGCAGAATTCTTTCATTTAGTTGCCTAAGCTTATCTTGCTCAATTATGAATCGAACAAAAGGTTCATGTCAAGTTAGAGGACTATATTGCACGTCACAACGTACTAAGTATGCTATCGAGCAGAGGCCATCATGTGTGACTGAGGGTAGACTTTAATGGCTGAGTGGCATTAGCAAACATCTAAACATGAACCGCTCTTTATGGTATGGTAGATAAAGAGTAAATATGTTCATTTGTTGTAGAAATGACAAAAGATCAGCAAGCAATATTACGTTTGAAAGATTTGACAAACGAATTAAATTTAGAAAAAAAAAAGACAAATGATCTGATTAAACAATTAAATGACAAAGAAACAGAAAAACAGATTTTGTTGCAACAATTTGATACGAAACATAAACAGGAAATGCAGATGAGACAACAACAATCACTTCCGCCACAACAACAACAGCAACAACACATGATGGCATTACAACGGCTCACTGAAGAAAATCAACACTTACAGCAACAACTTCAAGCAGCTCAAATTCATCATCAGAAAGCGTCTCCACAATCCGCGTCACCATCGACTGGATTAGTTCAAATGTTAACAACTCAACTTGAACAAACATCGGTTAAAAATGGTAATTTAGAAAAACAATTAACTTTGGGTGACAAGAAAATAAAAGATCTTCAAAAAGAAAAAGACGATCTATACAAGTATGACAATTCTGAAGAACTCTACTTGTAAATGCACATTTATTCGTCATTTTTTCTAGACATAATCAAGACTTAACAAAATCTGCGCAAGAATATCATTCACAAATGCAAACAAACCAACAGAAAGTCGATCAGTTATTAAACGAATTGAATCAATGTAAAACACATTTAAGTGAATTAGAGAATGAGAATCAAACAATGAAACAACAAGAAGTTGTTGTTAATCATCAAGGAGATAATAGTGAGAATGAAACATTACTGAAACAACAGTTAGAACAACTAAACGAAGTATGTAATAAGCAACGACAGGATATTGAAGATTCGAAACAACTCTATGAAAATAAACAACAACTGATTACTGAACTTGAAGAACGAATAAGACAACAAGAACAGATGAAAAATGACGAACAACAAACGAAACAAGGAGAGTTAAAACAGCGAGAAGAAGAACAGCAACAGTTGATTAATCAGTTACAAGAGCAACTAAGACAAATAGAGAACAAGTCAGATCAATTGAATAAAGAAAAACAAACTCTATCGGATGAATTAGAGAATAATAAACAATTAATCGAGCAATTGAAAGTACAATCGGTACGTTGTTTGTTTAAAATATTTACTACTAATTTTTGTCGGACATGAAAATTGAAATGTTACACCTGATAATATGCTTATGATATTAGTTTAAGAATAGACACGTTGTTTGGGAACAGATCAGTGATATTCTGTACCTATTTTAAGAAAATAGCACAGTAACAGTATGTTTATATATTTATATGAATGACATATTGCACGATTGTAATTTAATAAGTTCGACGTATCATTATGATTATCTGTTTTAGAGTGAAAGTCAGTCAACAGAGAATGAAATAGAAACATTAAAACAAGAAATTCATCGTTTACAAGAGAAAAATGATGAACTACAGGCATGTTGCAATGAAAATTAATTAAATATTTCTCAATTGTCAAATATTTTCATTTACTTTTTTTAGAAATTATGTGAGGAACACGAGAGTATACGACACCATTTGGAAGAGTAGGTGATGATATCTTTGCTTAAGATGATTTTTTTACGTTTATCTTAACTTTCAAAGATCAAATGTAAATGAGTTAAACGAAAAATCCAGAGAAATTGAGCATTTACGTAATGCTCTGGAAGAAGCAACAATAAAAAATCAAGTAAATGCATATTTTCTTTTTTAATAATGAAATTTTTATTTTCATCGAAAGTTGTTCGCAATGATGATAAAAGGAACTCGGAGAATTTCACATGTTCAATAACTAATTTTCTCACTGAGCGAACAAATGAAAGTTGTTTTTATTTGCGAGTGAGTAACACTAAGGCTCAGACTTATTCTACAAAAAATGATCTGTCAGGAAAAATAAGGTAAAACTATTCAATCGTCAAATTCTTTTTCATAGGGTTGTTCATTGTAAAAGTAGAGAAAATTATTCGTAATAATTTTAACATTGGGTACATGAAAAATAATGTATACACTTCTAAATTGTATTTCGCAGCGCAGATACGAGTAGGATAAATAAAATTTATGGATTAAAAAAAATTGCTAAAGAAAAACAGAAACGTTACATTTGTATTCTATTTTGATGAATATTGAGTGTCACTCTTTTTTAAAGAAATGTCATTAAATGATACAATAGTATAAGGCTAACTGATGTAATTTTGTAGTGATATTCTCTTATTTTATTATAGAAAATTGAAACTGAACGCAATGAGTTTGAAAATAGTCATCGTACGATTGAAAATGATGAAGAAAAATATCGTCAAACTTTAATGAGTCTATTACAAACTGAAGGCGTGAGCGATGATGATAAAGTTTTACAAATTTCAAGTGAAAACAAAGTAAAAAAAATCTTATAGTTATTAAAATCAAATTAGCATAAAATTCTATTACTTTTCCTAGAATTTCACTGAGTGGCTATTATTATTTCGAGAAAAACTTGAATCTATCCTATCATCAAGAAAAGTATGTATTGTACTTAGTATTTTAAAACGAGAAAATTAGATATAAAATGCTATTTTTTGTCCTTTTTAGCTTCGAATTCTATCGATGGAAAGTGAAAATAATAATTTAAAACGAGATATCGTAAGATTAACAAGAGTTATTTTTATTAATTTTTATACTTTGTTTAAATGTTTATAGGAAGCACAAGTAAAAGAAATTGAACAAACTGTTCAAGCAAAAGAAGAATTATTGATTAATGATTTAAAATCTGTAAGTCATTATAACTTTTGTAATACAAACATTTTACATTTTTTATATATATTTTTAGAAAGAGTTAATAATTGATAATATTCTGAAAGAAAAAGATATATTAGTATCGGTATGAAAATTTATCTCTTCTATATCGTCTTGAACTCATTTTTGTTGTGTTGTATTAGGATACTATTCGTCTTAAAAATGAAATTGATCGTTTAAATTCAGAATTAGTTGAACAGTCATCAGCAGTGAATACAACTCGTCAACAATTAGAAGAACGTGATAAGGTAAATATTATTTAATATATTAAATAAAAACATAATGCTAGTATAGCTCTTATTATAACTAACTTCTTTTGCACGCTTATTTATTTCTATTCGTTTCTGCCTGTTTTGCACCTCTCTTTCCTATCGTAGGAAACTATTGAGTTAGACAAGGTAAATCAATCATTACAAAATGAACGCATACGATTGACGAATCTAATTCGTCTTGGCCAAGATGCTCTGAGTGATGAGCAAGATCTTGTGCAACAGCTTGGCCAAAGCTTGGGATTTCAGGATACAAATCAGACTAAGGTATGCAAATACATACCCAAAATTTTAATGTCAGTTTTTTTAGAAAATTTTTTAAAATATCTAATTTCATCGTAAAAAGTGAAAAGGCGATAAAAACATTTTCGTTTTAGAAACAAGATAGTTTTATACTATCAAGAGAATTTTTGTCTCTATACCTATTTTCGCTGTTTAATAGTTAGCCTTTGCTACAAATAAATTGAATCTTAATCTTATATAATCAACTACTCATTACTAACATTTGTTATTATCTTCTAAATTGTATTAGAAAGACAAACATTGTATTATTGACAAAAAATAGACACCATTATTGCTTAGTTTTATTATTTTAACATATGAATTAGTATGTATATGCACGCAAATAGAAGACGAACCATTTAAATTACTAATCTTACTATTTAAGATTTAATTTTTAGTACAATGTAGTATAGATCCAATAATTTTCTTTCATCATGTAAACTGAACATTTCACATTGTAAACATTTTACGACTATCTAAGATTTTTTAGTTTAATATCAAACCTTTTTTTGCTTAAATCTTATTTTAGTAAGAGCGCATTGCTTTTTTTTAACTGTCTAAAACTTAAAATTACATATTATCAAATGTAACTTTTCGTTTTTTGTTTAGATTTCCGAATGAACAGTGTCCAATCAAAGTGCATTATCACCATTAATTATAAAACAGAAGAAGCAGTAAATTTCTGTTAACAAACATAAACTATTCATCGGTCAGTTTTAAATTCTAAATCACAACTATTATTTATTTCGTATGAGAGTATAGAAAAAAGTCTGTCTTCCAATTTATCTCACTAGGTTTTTCCTTTTTCATTGTAAAACTCTCGGACTTCTGTGTTCTAAAAATTCTTTCCAAGATTTGATTTAAACTTCTCATTTATTTACTTAACTACACACAGCGAAAGTAAGAAATTCATTTTATATTCTTACTCTCTTTTTTTTTTTCAATTGTTTTATTTGTTAGTATGTGATCTGTTTTTCTTTTAATGTTAAAGGGATTTATTGGTCATTTTGTTTTTGTTTGAGCTTGTTGTTTTTTTTCTCTTTTCCGTTTCTCTTGTTTTAACTAAATCTTTATTTATTTCTAACGTACAAAAAAGAATAAATAAAAAATAAATTAAACAAGTTTTATTTCACTATTCAACTTTCCTTTTGATATTAAGAAGAAAAATTAATTTCTTATCAAAAGAAGTCGTAATACTTTATATGCAACATAAATTGTGGAATTTAGAGATTCTGTCCTTAAACAAACGATTTTATACAGTTAAACGTACGAATTTTGATCTTTTAAGGTCATTTACAAAGTAAATTGTTGTTGTTTAGTAGCAAAAGAGGGACAATACATACAAAAATAACTCGATGTCAAAGTTGATCGAGCCAGTAGTCGGTAACAAACATAGATAAAATGTCAAATGGTGAGATGAAGTGGGCTAAAGATGCAAGCTTGAGGACAGGAAAGAAATAATTTTAAATTAGGTTTTATGATTTGAAAACATTGAACGTCGAAATTCTCTAATGTTCATTGATCGATTCATTTCAGTTTTGAATTATGTATTAATGATATATTTTTTTCCATTAAATTAACTGTTTTAGTTATCGTTTAATTTTTGATAACTATTTCGTAAATTTTTAAATTTAATAACGAATTGTAACGATATAACCTAAATTAATTAAAAGAAAAAGAAGAGAGGAATATGAATTACAATCAAATAGTATGAAAATACTTCCTAATCTCCATATATGCAACGTACAACTTTATAAGATTACTACTATGATCAATAATAATTTTTGTTTATAATGTACTGTCAATCTAATACACTACAATTATTTACATTAGTTAGAAATTAGTATCAATCAAATTTATGTATAAAATTCAATTATCAGTTTCCATAATTATTCATATTCAATTTAATTAACGCATTTTCTTATATTTCATTTAGACTTAATAATTATTTTGTGAATAATAATTTATATCAAATTTCATTGCTACTTAACTTGTTTTTATGAGTAAATTAGTTTCTAGTATATTGTAAATGTTGTATTTTGTATAAGAGGATTTGAAGTGCAAATGGATTACCCGTGGAAGAAAAGTAGAATGAAATTATTTTAAATTAACACGTTTTACATGCTATTGCAAAATTTAATATTATATCGTTGGCAGTGTTCAAATAAAAGCACTTTTTTGAGTAAATCTGCTTTCATAACATGTCTCCTGTTGTTGATCCGAGATCATAAGCTTGTCTAATTAAATTTGATCTTTACCAATCGGAAACATTGATTTTGTTGCTTAACAGACTTTTTCATTTAAAGGAAATTAAGTTCGTTACTAGTGTATAAATTGAGTCTAATACTATATCGAAGATAAATGTCATGAAATTTTATAGGAAATATTAAAAACATGGGATCCTGACAAATATAAATTTTTAGTGCTAATTAAGATATCTTTCTATTTTCCGCTAGTTGATCAATTCACCATGGAAAGTGCAACACATCTGTAAAATTTTACAGTACATTTAAACTTACCTTGATAAAAAAACTAAGAATTCTAAAAAAACAGAAGTTTCTAGTGGTCAATTTTTTATCAACGAAGATGAATGTACTACTTTTAATCTTCTGTACTTTCCAATGAAGATATAAATTGTTCGTCTTTTCCACTTTATTTGTAGTTTTATCAAGTGTATTTATTTATATGTGATATGCAATTTGAATCTAGGATATGATTGTTAGAATAACCCATGGGCTCTTTGTTTCCTATTTATTGCATTATAATGCGTTAGGCATATCGTAATGCCTTGTAATGTATTAAGTTTTCTATTGTGTTACAACGGGGTGTACTTTTGAAAAAATCTGTCTTTAATACATTGTAACGCATTAGCATAACGCACTACGTGGAAAAAGCTGCCGAAAAATTGAAATTATAGTGTTATAAAGCATTTTTGTCAAAGATTTTCTTATATTTTATAATGTTCCGACGCTATAAATTTGACTAATACATTAATATTTGTATGCCGTTACAAGGCGTTACTAGATTCCTATCGCATTATAAAGCATTAATCTGTAACGCGTTGTAATATGTTATGCACGTTCTAAATCACCGTAAGACTATAGAAGTTCCTTTACTTTTCAACGACATGACTTTATTGCATTACAATGCGTTACACACTCTAAAAAATAGTCAAAGATTAATAAACTATCAGAAAGGGTTTATTGAGACCAATAAATCTTATAAAAAACGTTTTTCCGTTTTTTATTTTCAAAAAACTAAAAAGCGTCCGTCACAGATGCAAAATGAAAAACGGGCGGTTTTTTATCAAAAGTAAAAAACCTTTTTCAGTTTTTTGTCGAGTCTAAAACACTAGCTAAAAAACTCTTCAGTTTTTCAGCTAGTTTTTTAAAAGGTTTATTGGTCTCAATAAATCCTTTTTGATAGTTTATTAATCTAAGACTATTTTTTAGAGTACAAGCTATTATAGTATTGTAATGCTGTACATTTATGTCATTGAAACGTGTTAGAAACTTTTGTAGCCTTACAATGAGTTAGAACGCGCGTAACAGGTTAATATATTATACCTCTATAACATCTAAAACATTATAATATTATAAATTTATGGCATTACAATGCTTTAACTGTTTAGGCGTTGCTATACGTGACAGTGATAATAAAATATTTTGGTAAAGTAGTAATATTGAAAAAATGTAATAAGAAATACAGAACTGCTACAAACATGATTAATACAAATTGCGAATTTAAGTGCTATTTGCTAAAAAGTGCACTTTGCTAAGTGCTATTATTTTGATTTATTATTGATATTTCGATGATGCTCACTCGTCATTATCAGAATAAACGAATGACATCAGATTTGATTCAATAAGGGTACAAAAAAGTAAAAGAATCGAAAATTAGGTAATTAGATACACATCTTTTAGACATACATTCTCTTTGATAAAAATGATATTTTCCTTGAGATTTAATTTCATTTTTCCACATACCTAATTGCCTAATTTTCTGTTCTTTTAGTCTGGTGTCATTTCTTTATTCTGATGATGACGAGTGAACATCGTCGAAATATCAATAATAAATCAAAATAATAGCATTGTGATTTGTATTAATCATGCTTATAGCAGTTCTGTATTTCTTATAGTGGTAATAATTGTCTTGTAGGACTTGATGTCCTAAGTCTCAAGTCACTAACATATTCTTCGAGAGGAATCGATTGACAGTCTGAGAATTTTATGGATATGTGTCCTTTACGAGAAAATCATGTATTTTAATTTTGCATATTGTCTAACTCGTTATAACGCGTATTAATACCTAATGTATTGCACCGCATTCCATTTTCTTGTCTCATTGCATTTAAGTAGAAAAAAAATAATGCATTGTAATCTATTAGGCCTTGTTCAGACTACAAAAATTAAGTGAGAAACTCGTAACCGTCGTGTGCTCGACATGACTTAAGTTTAATACTTAAGTGAGAAAAGAGTGTAGTCTGGACAAGGCCTTAGATATTAACTCGTTACAATATGATATGTCCAGCATACTGCAGTAAGAAAATTAGAGAGAAATCGTGCAGAGATAGCATTCTAGGAAGTTACTTGCTAATAACAGTTGCCAACAGCAGGCAACTTCAGCACTGATTGTAAGATAGCTACCAATATGTGTGTAACTTCTCTTTGTTTAGCTTGGAAATAAAAGGTTGTTTTATATTTATACATTCCTTCAGAATAGACCTTGAGCTGAGCATCCTAACTTTTGTTCGTTTTTAAACCGAAGGTTTTGAACCTAATCACTAGGACAGTGCTCGTATGAATTTAATATAGAAATTTATTTCGATCACTTGTCAAGTAAGTAGAAGAATAATCGACTTTTTTGACCGGATAAATTATCTTCAGAGATGATTGTGGTGAACAAAAAGCACCCGTTCAAGTGAATGCCAGTCATGATATTATGGATGGATAAAAGAGAATTGAGACCGTTCAAAACAAAAACACAATGAGGGAATTGGAAATAAAAGATTGACAATGAAAATGAATGACACAATTGTTTATGTTTTCTCATCATGTCATTCAGTAGAATAGCAAAACGGTGGAAGATAGTGTTACAGGTAATAAGAGCCAGATTATTTAAAATTCACGTTTTTGAACACGCGAGAGAGGAGATACTTTATGTCATTATAACACGAAAGATGTCTTCTGATACGTTAATATTTTTTTCTCAGTTTTCAGAGCTTTATACGATTACAATGCATTATATAATGTCTACGACATTGCAACTCATTAGAAACTAATGCATCATAATACATTACGAGATGTCTAGAACATTTTAAATCATTAGAAAAATCATATTTCGTTATCATACATTAAAATCCAATGAGTCGCAATGCTCTGGACATTATATAATGCACTCTAATGCTATAAATATCCCAAACTGGTTTTTACGGCGTGATAATTTGATAAAACATCTAATGTATTATAACGCATTAATTTCTAACGCATTATATTGAAGTAGAAAACTCAAACGCTTTATAATACATCGGAATTTAACGTATTATAGGCGATAGACTAATCTAATTGAATTGTAACGAGATAAAAAATTGAAACACATTATAATACTATAACTTTATAGGGTTGTAATGCAATGGAAATTTTTATCCTGTTGTAACGCCATAAATTTCAGAAAAATAACTTTGCAACACGTTATAACACGCTGGGCTACGTCTATGTGTTGTAATGAGATAAATTTATAGCATTGTAATGTGCTGTTAATTTTAAAAAAGACATGTTTTATAGCGTTATAAATAGGAGGAAAAAGGTCCCATGGGAATCGAATTGATTGATTAGAATTGAGGAGTCATTTATTTGTATATTTTAAGAATAATGTCAACATATTAAGAAAAGTACTTAAAAAATACTGAAAAATCCTTAAAATATATGTTCACTAGAGGACAATGACCCACTACGCTGTGCTAGTACTTATTCTATCTCTGACAAATACTCTTTAGAAAACAATCAGATAATTTTATGTTGTTAACGTCAAACATAAACTCGTCTGTTAAAATAATCTAAAATATCTTGGTTTACAGTCTGGAATCAAGTCAAATATCGTATTTTGTTCATATTTAAAAATGTTTTAATAAAAGATACTAGTCAAGTAGTAGACTCGAATCCTGTTCAAAAACAGTTGTGATACATATGTTTTGCACATGCATTTAAAATATATTATTGTTCTTTATTTTTCGATAAAAGTGAAAAACTACAAACTATGACAGATATAATAATGTTTCAAATCTCACGTATTAGTAGTACTAACTCATAGAATTCCTTTTACGGCTCAATTTCTTTCTTTTTTTCGAATCGATAGTGAAACAGTCATTCATCCGCTTTACGACTCCTTGTTCATTGTACTGAAATCGTAGATATTTACTCTATAGTATATGAAGAAATACTTTTCAAATTATGATACTTTAATGTTTTATATCGTATCATTTGACAATGAGTTATGCTATGATAATAATAATTTATGTTATTTGAATCATTTTCAAATGTGACATGAAAATAGTTTATAATTATTAAAAGTTTCATCATCTGGAAATGATGTTCAGTTGATTCTGTTGCAATAATCTAAATCTATTCTTTCTTTGTTGTATACGGAGATGACGTTTAAATGAGGGTTTATTTAAGAAACATTTTCAACAAATAACTTTAACTTGTTTTATATACAACTGATAAAAAAAAAAAACATAATTTCATTGATATACAATATTAAAAAGAAGAAGAAAATAACATATATAGATAAAATATTTGAGTAGTGACCGGGTACGAAGATATACTTAACATCATGGGAAAAAATTGAGTTGAGCAATAAAATAAATGGACGCATCTTTCATTATATTTTTTTTTAGAAAATGTTGTTGCGTAGTATATAGGATATAAATAAATGGGCTAGATATGTGAAATACACACTGTGTATTCACATTTATGGATTATCTCTCGTATTTCCAGGTTTGCATAATTCTGTAGAAACTGGTATTTTACTCGGCGATGTTGGATGTGCGATACTGATTGAGGGTCGTTTATCGACACGATAATTTTCACAAATAGATACGGATTGTGCACGACGTAGGCCAGCCTGAACTCCAAGCTAAAAATAAATATTAGATCTTTTTATTTTCAGTAAAAATGTTTATGCATTATGAATGTGTGTGTGTGTATAATATTTTCATACTTGTGCTGCTAGACTCATTTTTGATGATGTTGAAGAATTTCGATCATGATGATCACTGTTCTCCTCTTTTTCTAATTGATATATTCTAGAATAGATATATACAAATAGAGGATAATTATTGAGCGTGGAAACGTAAAAGAAAAGACAAGTCATACCTGGCTGTCAGCGGTTCTCTGTTCGATCTTACAGATATACGTGATGCAACCGACGCCGATCGTAGTCGAACTCGTACATCTTGATCCATTTCATCTTCTTCATCACTCGGTATCATACCACTCAATTCACATTGTCTTTCTTGAAGTTTAATTAACAATTCTCTAAATTCTTTTCTTAATTCTTCTAATTTTGCTGTTATAATCAATCGTTGAGTTTGAAAATTTGGATCATTTCCATCCACATTTTCAAATTGACTTTTTAATGACAATAATTCTTGTTGAAGCGTTGTCATTTTAGCTTGAATCTATTTAATTTATGTTAAACATAAATACAGATATATATGAAAACAATAAATGAATAATTACAAACCTCTTCTATAGATAAATCATCTGATATTTCTGAAATGCTACTAATACTCTTTTTTGCAGGCATAATACGTGTTGGTCTAGTTATTCGACGAATTTCACCAGGTATACGACGATGGGATAATAAATCTCGAACAACTTCTAACTATAGAAAACAAAAAAATAAAAAATAAAAATCATAATTAAACGCTAAAAAAACATTTGATCCTGATTGTGCAATCATTAGCTTGTCAAAATTGATTAAGAATCAATTTTAATTTTCCCCAATGAATTCTGTCTATTTTCTAGATATATATATATACAATAATTTACCTACTTGTTCAATAAAACATTTTGTTATAAATTTGGTATCGGGCATAATATTTGAGTCGGCAATTACAGCTAGAATAGATGAAAAAAATTTTCTTTTAATATAATCGTTGTCATATTCTATTAGATTTACCTAAGCGTATTTCATCCGAATATGTTGTAACACAAAAACTAATAGTACACGATCCAACCGAAGGACTAAGACAAATATAACTTCGAACATCTTTATTTAAAATAGACATTGTTGCTAATGCTGTACTGTTTCCAGCAGCGATTGTGCTTAACCAAAAACTAGCATTATTGTATACACGAGCAATTATTCTATTCGCTAAAAATATCAATCCAAACATTATATTAAAATGAAGAAAACCAAAAACAAAACAAAAAAAAGAAAATATGAATTAATGTCTGCTTATTTATTTTTTCATTTCGTTTCAAGTAAAATGTTGACAATTTAGCCCGTAAAATATTTTATGTTAATTAATTAAAATTTAATCATAAAATAAGATTAGTGTCATTTTATATTCGGATTTTTTTTATTCAAATTTTATTCTTATTAGTATAAACCTAAAGCTATAAAAACTGATGAGTTATTGTAGAATAAAATTTTTTTAAAAAAAAAAGAATATTTTTTTCATTATTATTATCTTACCTATGCGTAAAGGAAATAGTATATAGGTTAATTTTATAAATAGAAACATAGTGGCATATTCTGATCGATGTTTGACATTTTTCATACAATCATGAAATGCCCATAATCTTGGTATATTTCCTTCAATATTCACCGGTATTTTTACTCGAACATGTGCTATATAATTTCCCATTGCTATACGTTGTTTATTTTTTCTTAAATCAAATGGTATAATACAATTCATATCGGGTGAATTATGAATACCATGATGTTCCATATATAAATTGACACATGTTATAACTAATGTTGATAATAAATCATTCATTTTTGTACGTGTTACCAATTTCATTCGATTAATACTTGCCAATGAAAATGGTGTTGACCATGAAATATTTTTTTGTCCACATGTCATTGGTAATTTAAGTAGATTATAAGAATCATTTATAAATAATTTTTTAAATAAAATTAAATAGCCAAATAAAAATGCTTTAATATAATCAAATGGTAAACGTCTACTAGCATAACGTGGTTTAATATCCAATTGTGTTGTACGATTATCGATAATATTTTTTAATAAAATACGTATCAATGAAATACCATCTGATATACATGGATGATAAAGAAATATAATAATACTATCATTACTATTATTAAAACGATTTTTATAATGAATTTCCCATACTAAAAAAAATATAATAGACAATAGTAATAGGATTTATAGATGAAGAAGAGTGATGAAAAGTAGTTTATACATACATGGTTTATGATGATTTAATTCAGTTGACATTATTTGATTCATATATAATTCTAAATCGGGTTCTGTTTGAACATTACGTGGAATTTCTCTAACATGATCATCTATAGAAAATTTTGGATTATCAATCCACATAATACCGGCAAATGATGAAACAACTAATTGAGAAAAACGTGGATAAAGTTTATGATCACTACCACGACGAGTATTTGTTGTTACTAAACGATTTATTAATAATTTTTTTAATGAATTTTCATTAATTGAACCTAAAAATATATTTTAAATTAATTTAATATTAAATTTTTATGTTTAATTAAATATGTGTAAATTAATACCTTCTAGAATAAAAATGGCTGCTGCATTTGGTTGATTATTTATTGTTTCATAAAACCAAAATAAATCGTTTGATGATAAAAATTGACATAAACATGGTCGACATGTACATCGGTATGTACAAACAAGACGAAATAATGTTCGAAATAAAAAAGATATGGGTAAAAAGATAGTTAGCAATAAAACACAAGGTATTGATAAAAATACTATGAAACAAAATGATGATATTTTATTTAGAAATAAGATAAATGAACTACGATCAGCTGGATGTTTAACTTGTTTTATTGGAGCATTTTGTAGATATGCACGATATTGAGCATGAGTTCGATCATTTATCGGCAAAGACTTTTTATTATTATAACGATGTGGTGATCGTCCTCGAGGCATATCTGTTGGCTCAACTCGTTTAACAAATGGATTCGATGGAGAATGTATTGCAGGAGGATCTGTTGATACGATGCCGTTTGTCTGCGATGGTTGTTGTTGTTGTTGTTGTTGTTGTTGAACCGTTAAATGAATCGATTTCGAATGTTTTTCATTATTATCAACGTGTTGTTCAGTTTCATTTCTTTGAATACTTTCTGTACTATCAGTTACTATTGACGATGGAACAACGGCGTTATACTCTTCAATAACCACAGGATCTTTTACTACAGTTAACGATGTTGAAGGTACAATTGGAATGGCCCATCTGTCCACATTCATTGTTTTGTATGATAAAATAAATTTGTTTTACGTTATAAGTACATTGTTCATACTTTCTTTTTCCAGTGCCTAAAATTCGTGTATAAAAATACTCTCGTATATATCTGATAAATTAATTAAAAACTTAACATTCTGCATATTCTCAAAGAATTGAATATAATTGTAAAATATGCTGTTCATCTTACCTTTATTGATTTTTCTATTTTGTTCGTTTTGTATCCAGTTATTGAGATTTAAGTACATAAATGATGATAAATGAAACGACAAATAGTAATGTTGAAGATGTTTGATTGAGCTTTTAGTTGCATCATTATTTGTACTATACAAAAATAAAAGATTTTAGATTAAAATCTAATACTAAATATACGTTTACAAAGTGCTAACTCTATCGGTAAAAACAAAAAATGATGCTTTTACAATATTGTGATTAAAACATATTATCAAATTTATTCTATTTTTTTTATTTTTCTTCTTTTAAACGGGACTTGTTGTCGAGGTTCATTTTAACAAGATATATCAATCAAAAACTGGTTTTTTTTTTTCCTTTTCTCTGCCATCTTGTGACAATGATTGATTTGGTTTTTCTAACAAACATGCAATGAACAAAATAGTTCTTCTCTCTCAAATTTCGATTACCGCACATACTTCTGTATAATTTTATTAATGATGAATAATTTAAAGTCGATTGAGAGTGAGACTAGAAAAAGTAGAAGTTTATTCCCAAGTTATGTAGCTAATTTATTTTTATTTGTTTAAATGATATTTATCCAAGTGGGAAGTATAATTTTCTTTTCATTACACTCTAAGTGTCATGTTTAACTTTAATTATGTATGATGAAAAGTGTGCCGTGACTAGCTAGTGATGAAATTTTTTGGAAACATATGTCAAAAATCCACTTACAGTATAACTTATACAATTAGAGATTTTGTTTGTCTATTCTTTTATTGTTCGAGGATTCCTTGTTTCTTTTTCTCTCTTTTCCAATGATATTTTATTGGATTAACTAGATTTCATTTATTATACTAGATGATTTTTAACGCTTGAATTCACAGCACATAGTTTTCCCGTTTTGAATATAAAGGATGATTTTTCTTTTTTTTTTATCCATAAAAACTATATGAATATAATGAATATGAAATCAAAAAAAAAGGAAGAACGGGAAAAATGTGACTTTTAACATGAAATGGAATATATATAATTATCGTACGAGTAACACACATATAGACATGATTTAAATGAACATGAATTGAATGAACAATGTTTTCTTTTGTATATCACTCGCGTACTGTAATCAAATTCGACGACACTGAAGAGAAAGAGAGAGAAGTTTTGTTTTCTTCTTTTTCTTCTTTTTCTCTTTGATTATAGTCAAGGGAAAAATGCTGTTATTTACAAGTTAGAAGCGCACATCATTGTCCAAAACCTTTGACATGAATTCGAAAGAGGTGTTGACAGATTATCAATGAATTTTTATTTTCTACATTTGAAAACTACCTGAATGTTAATTTCTAAATATAAACAAAAAATTAAATTGAATAACTTCATTGATAGTCAAGAAACAGACAATATGTATATGATGATGATGATGATGATGATGATGATGATGATGTTGATAATAATGATGATGTTGATAATAATAATGATGATGATGATGATGATGATATTACAGAACAAGTATGTTCGTCTGTTAACTTAGAATTCAACATGCATAGAGAAGTTTTGATATTCTCAATTATTTGATTATAAACAAATTAGATGACCAAAACATGAATTGTTTAAAAAAAATAACATTTAAGCGACAGAGTCTGAAGATCCAATTGTTCACGAATTTTTTGATAAATCTTCAACAGCAAACTGTTTTTGGTCCGTAACACATACAGAAAGAAAATACATGAAGGAAACTACAGGAGAAAAGTAGATTTTCTGCTCATAATTATTATAATACTCATTCGAATCATATGGGTTTAGAAATGAAGTACTGTATACTGCCTGCATATATAAACTCCGCAAAAAAACGGCTAAATTTTCAAAATTTCTCCCATTTTTCTGCTAAGTATTAAGTAATGGTTTACCACTTCTATTACTAGTAAGAAGAAAGTTATTGTTAAGTTTTGAAAGAAAAACGGATAACATGGTTATACCAATTCTTACCTTGTGCTTGGACGGTGCATCATCAAAAATCATGAAACAAAAAAAATAAGCGTCGAGAAGCATGAAAAAAGAAGGAAGAAAAAAAAAGCAAAAGAAGGCGTTTTTATAGACAATTAAGTTTTCTTTCATATATTTTCCTATATTCTTTTTTTTCCTGATTTTCTCTCTGTTTCATCTGTCATTTTTTTCTTTTGTTAAGTCTTATCTCATACTCCATGCACAGATAGCACCATGGAGCTGTGTCATGAACACACAAGGAGGAAGAGAACAAAAAAAGAATGTTGAAAAATATTATCAAAGACTTTTTTTTTATTCATATGCAACAGCACATCATCGATAGTCTATTATTTTATAGCATTATTATTTTCATTTTTAAAAAAGAGAACGTTTTTCTTTTTTCTTTTTCCATGAAGTTTTCTATCATGGGATAGTGAAACCAAGTGAAAGTGTTTGCATGTAACAAGAAATATGTCTATAGATGATAAAAAAACTGTTTTTTCGAACAATTGAACAAGATGATTATAGTCAAAAGGATGGAGAGAGATAGTGTAAGAGAGAGACCTGTGTAAAAGAATATTTTAACGAAATTAATAATAAATAACTAATGCTATAAAACGTAGAAAAACAATTTACATGGAAGAGACAGAAACAAAAATATGTAGAAGTAATGACATTTTTATATATGAAAACATTCCTCTCCTCTCATAATATTACTACTTCTCTTTTTCTCATCTTATTTCTTATATTTCGATATATGTGCCTTATAGCTAAATCCGGATAAAAAAACGTTAATGGGGAAAACATGCAATAGACAACGGTAGTATATCTTTAGAGGAAAATATGCATTATCGTTTATTAGTTTGGTCGATTTTTGCGCTCGAATAAAAACCATCCATCTTATTTTCAATGTAAGTCGGTTCGGAAGTAGTTGGATTCATCGGTCTTAAGATAAAGTGGAAGAGCATAAAATGATTCAATGAGACTAATGAATGATAATGCATATTTTCTTTTCAAAATATACTACCTCTTTCTTCTTTATCTATTGCATGTTCTTTCTATTAATTTTATTTTTTTATCCGAATTGAGCTACGAGGCACATATATCGAAATATAAGAAAGAAGACGAGTAAAAAAATAGTAATATTATCAGAGCAAAAGAATGTCTTAATACGTAAACATGTCACTACCTCTATACATTTTTGCTCTTCTCTCTTCTCTGAATAGATCTGGCTATCTCGTAACCGGTCTTTACTACATTAGACGGCAAAAGTAGCCCCGCCCCCCGTTCTGACTCAAGAACCATAATAAATAAGGACTTCTAATTTTGTATGAGCATTGGTCTCACCGATTGCAAGGTTAGACCTCTTTTCCTAGATGGTTGGTGAGATATAAGCATTTCATTTCTTTACCGTAAAATGCTAATAACTTCTGATCCAAGATAGGTAAACACTTTTTACTTTTTACCAAAATTTAGTCGTGATTCTCCTCTATCTACGATATGAATTTGAAGAGATAGCTGTTAAACTATTTTACCATCGAGATCCGTGAGATATGAGGCCCTTTTCAAAAAAACTCATAACTCATTCTAGGAAGATCATTTTGACTTCAAATTGCACCAAATACACTGTGCAGTATCTATAGACTCTTCAGTCAAAGTATGAAGATTAACTATTGTACGGTTCCGGAAATCCGTTTCAAATGAGCAGACGCTAATATAAAATAAAACAGGGAGACAAAATTGAGGAAATAGGAGTCGCTGATTCTACCATAGCTTCTGTGATTAGTATGCATCAGAATTATGTAAAAATATAATCAAAGAAACCTATGGGGAAAACAACAGTGGGTGAAAAGTTATAAAAAATAAATCAGGCGTTATTAGCATTTTACGGTAAAGAAATGAAATGAAATGCTTATATCTCACGAACTATCCACCAGAGGATGCTTAAACTTGCTCGGTGATCAGCATTCGGTGAGAACAATGATCATAAAAAATTAGAAGTCCCTAGCTATTATGGTTCTTGAGTTACAGGAACGCTATTTTTGCGGTTTACTGTATCTTAAAACAAGATGGGAATCTTTCGAAATATTTTCTTTTATCTCTCTCGTTCAAACAAATAGTTTAATATTAAGAAAAAATATTTAATAGAAGTGTACATCAGTTCTAATCATGTGAATGATATTACTTTGATTTGATATGAATCCAAAAAATAACTTCACAATTTTTATATCAAATCGATGTTTCTTTGTATACCATTATTGATTGCAGAAAACAAGAGATGAATGCTTATAATGTCTTAAATTAAACATTTGTATCGATCTCAGAATAAGACAAACAACATTAAGTAAGATACATATAACTGTAAGACAGATTTGTTTTTTTGTAAAGTTAGCTCTCTTTTTTTCAAAACCATAAGCATACTTTTGATTAATGAGACAATGTGTATAAGGTTTTAGGTTAGTGAATCAACATCCGAAGATCAAAGAAAAAGTTGTTTAGCTTCTTGCTCATCTCATTTTCTAATCAGGTAGATATATATATTATATACGTACACTAATCGTCGGTGTTCGATACGCGCAGATACCAGAACAGGCAGATATCTGACATGCTCTCTATGAACTGAAAATGAGTAGATAACCGATTTGACTGTCTTATTTTATTCAAAAAAAGCTTTATTTATTTACCGTAATGAACACTATTGTAAAACAATTACACTAATAATCACATGTATAATCAATTACCGTGCAATGGAGATCATCGTGGTTGACGCAATACATATAGCCCAGAGGCTATACTTACTCTTCCTTGAAAATTTTGTCACCCGTAAGTTGTACTACATGATCGACAATGG